TTGCGTACTATTGTTTGTACAGATGAACGTGGTACCTTCAGGAGTTTGGAAATTGCTCCCAAGGATGAACCAGACTTGTGGAGGTCTACATTTTTTTTCTGAGGTCTTGGCTGATTTCTTTTGATTTTCCCATGATGTCAAGCAAAGAGGCACTGAGTTTGAAGGTAGGCCTTGAAATACATCCACTGGTACACCTCCAATTGACTCAAATGATGTCAATTAGCCTATCAGAAGCTTCTAAAGCCATGACATCATTTTCTGGAATTTTCCAAGCTGTTCAAAGGCATAGTCAATTTAATGTATGTAAACTTCTGACCCACTAGAATTGTGATACAGTGAATTATAAGTGAAATAATCTGTCTGTAAACAATTGTTGGAAAAATTACTTGTGTCATGCACAAAGTAGATGTCCTAACCGACTTGCCAAAACTCTAGTTTGTTAACAAGAAATTTGTGGAGTGGTTGAAAAACGAGTTTTAATGACTCCAACCTAAGTGTATGTAAACTTCCGACTTCATCTGTAAGTAGTATTTTACTGGGTGCCTTTCACTTTTACTTGAGTCATTTTCTATTAAGGTATCATTACTTTTACTCAAGTATGAGTAATGTGTTATTCAATGCGTTCAAACAATTCCATATGTTAGCTTAGTAGCCCCCCCAACGGCTTAGACTTTTAGAAGTTAAAGTATAACAAGGCAATGAAGGTCGCTGGTTAAATTTAGCCACTGTGACACAAGGTGAGTCTGTGACCTTCTTCCTACTTTAGGAGGTGGTGTATGGGACAGACACACGCATTCACGCAGGCGTGCGTACACACACACACACACAAAGAGGGAGTAGTTGTGGGAGGGTAGTACAGGGGTATGGGAATGGGCTGCCCCATGCTGACCAATTTTAGACTGGGCAGGAGACCAGCAGGATCTGGGCCCAGAGAGACAGCCTGGATCACATCACACACCGACAGGTCAGGACAGGACAGACAGGAGAGGAGAGAACACACTGGACCTGAGAGGGTGATATCACTGCCTCTCCCATCCCCTCTCTCCTTTCCCTCCCTCCCTCCCTCACTCCCTCCTCTTCTCTCCTTACCCAACCCCTTCTCTCCTTCCCTCTCCTGTCACACCCCCTCTCCTCCCCTCTTCCCTCCTCTCCTCCCCACCCCAATCCCACTAAGCCCTTACAAGCCATAGCCAAAGATATGAGATCATGATTATAAATCTAAGGCTATAAGTCTGCTGCCACTCTGACACAGTCTCTTTAACACTTTAATGGCATGACCAGCTTCCAACCCAGCACTTCTGTTTTGCACTCTTACTGAAATAACCATTTAAAACAGTACAGTAAAAAGTGAGTGCCTATCTATCTTTACAGTGGGTGGACAGCACTTTTTTCTTATCTGTGGCATTGAAGAAACAGACTTCTGAGTCACAATCTTACTGTAATTCATAGGTGCGTAGGAGAAGGAAAACTCAATTTGTAGACACTGCAAATAGAGTCGACCACAACATGCTGACCACTGCATGTTGATACATGTTTATCTTGCCAGTATAACCAGTGTGCAATACCTTGAGTCCTCCTATGTGCTGGGTCAAGGTTCTGAAACCTTTTCTGGTTGATATTAAGAGGAAGTGGAAGGGGAGTTAGGAGGACTGAGTTCTCTTCCATCCTCATTGCCATTAACAAAGCAAAAAGCAGAGGAAAATAAGATTATGAAAGAATGAGAGAGAACAATAAATAATGTATCCTTGAATGATTGTTATTACCTGAGTTAGTAAGTAGAGGAGAGCAGAGGAGAGAAGAATAGAGTAGAATAGAGGAGAGGTGAAACAAGGAGAGGAGAGGAGAGGGAGACAGCCTTTGCTCCGGGTGTTTATCCCAGCTCGACCTTGGGTATAAAAGTGAAAAATCAATATTTTCTCGCTGATGTAAATCAATAGAAACCCATTCTCTCTCTGAACAATGTTTTAACAGTGCTGTGAAAGTTTTTCATCCTGTCTTGGGTCCCTGATGCTGTCCTTGGAGCGCACTGAGTAGACTGAGGTCCCACTCCCGTTACTTTATGAATACGGCTAGGCACTCAATGCCAGCCTTTTCTCCATGACATATTTTCTTAACACTATACTTAGGCAGTGTGGAGGTCTTTGTTTAGGCCCTCCCTTGGATTAACACATGTGCTAACACACTCTCTCAAGGCTCACATGCACTCACAAGAGAGGCAAGTAGAATTAGCGTAGCGGGGTTTAGGCATTAAACCTTTTCTGTACTCTTCATGCTTTCTTTCGCCAACCTCTTTTCCTATACTTGTTGCGCCCTATGTGTATCTTTCTCTCTGTCCTTCTCTCTCTCTATCTCTTTCTTTCTCTCCCTCTCTTCAGTAGTCTTGTCCTGTGATACACAATCTGAGAGAAAAACATTCATTCTCCCTGAATCTTGCCTCCCCCTCCTCCTTTACCTTGCCCTCCTCTCCTCTCCCTGTGCCCCTTCCTCCAGGTTAGTCACACCTCCCCCCAATCCCCCCACTTTCCCAGTGACAGATGCACTGGGAGCGTTGAATTATGATGAGTCATGACATCATAATTCATGCGTTCCCGTTTTCACGGTTAAATCAATAACAGTGTGTCCGACTCAAGGTTGGCGGCCGGCCTTCACAGCGCTGCTCGCTGCTCTCCGTCCTCTTTTCTCATAGAAAATCAGATAAATTCTCCCTAAAATAATTAAGCCTTCAGCTCCGTCTCTGGCCTACTTTTTTACTGGCTAGCAGCTGATTAACGGTGCAACGAGGGAGTCAAGGTAAAACAGAATAGAGCACAAGGCTGATTCTTTATGTCTCTCTCTCTCACAGACAAACACATGGAGATACGTACACACACAGTCACGCACACATTCACACACACGCACACACAGACAATGACACACGTTTGTTTTCCTATTCTTCTGGGGACCAAACAATTGCTTCCCATTCAAAATCCTATTTTCCCTAACCTTAACCCCAAACCCTAACCCCTAAGCCTAAAATAGCCTTTTCCCCACTTGTCTGAATTGTATTTGTTTTACTATTCTCGTGAGGACTTCTGGTCCCCACAAGGATAGTAAAACCAAAAACATACACACACATGGATAATTTTGTAGCTTTTGGGATACTGTTGTATCCAAAAAGAACTGGATAACCTATGTCAAGGACATGGAATCTGTCTGTCTGTCTGTCTGTCCCTCTCTCTCTCTCTGCCCCCTCCTCTCCCTCACTTTTTGTGATATAATGGGTATGCCCTGAGATACAGTATGTGCTTTCCCTTTCCTGCAAAGGTTAATTTATCATAACTGAAGAGGTGATGCTGCTTAAAGGTGCAGACAAACGGCATAGCACGAGGTTTGACATAAACCAACATGCTGTTTTATGCTCCATAATGGAATGACGTTACTATTAATCTTGCTGCAGCTGGCTCCCTCTGAGCGCGTGTGTAGAGAGAGCCAGAGCGAGAGAGAGCGAGAGAGAGAGAGAGACAACATCACTACGTGACGGCAAATCCCTGTCTGTCTGCTTAAGCCTTATACGTTATAAAAGACAAGCTAACGACTTAGGCTATGTTGCAAATAAGTGCCTGTCATATGTGTTCCCCTGAATCAACACCTACCCTACGTGTTAATTAGTACAGGGCTCCAGACTAACATGATCCCCTGGTGTCACTGGTGATACTAACTTTTACAGTTGGTGGCACCAGCCCATGATTTGGTCAGTAATCATCTCATGAAGTCTTTCATAGTCCTTTATTAAGGAGTGTAATAAATAGACTACTGAGGTATTCAAGAAATAAGTTGTTTCATCTAACATGTCCCAAGCAAGAATGCAAGACTCAAGATATGTTGATGTGAAACCTAATCCAGTGACTACCAAAAATGTGGGGTTGACAATTAGACTCTGGTTGCTATATTTTACTGTCGAAATCGGACTCCAAAATGTCCTGATAATTTTTTTAATAGAGTTTAATTACAGTATATACATCTTTATGTGCACTAACTATTTCATAGGCTGATTAATGTGGGGTTCAACACCTGAGGAAGTGGAAACCGTAAATGCAATGTCCTAAAAATACTTTGCAGTTGTAGGCTACTACCCATGAGACCTATAAGTCTACTCGGAATGGCCGGTGCGCATTTCGCGTGCCGATTCCATATTTAAAAACCATATCATATCTTGGTTGTAGAATAGTTGTTATTAAGCTAAATATTGAGAGTTGAGAAATAAAAATATATACCTACAGACAGCTGAGACCCTACTCTCTTCGACAGGGACAAGGGGACGCTTCCAAAGCTGTGTTTTTCCCGCAAACAAACAAGCACAGGGGCAGGGCAGACACTTCAATTACAGGAATCAGGAGGAAAATACACTTTACTCTATGACCAAATCATGGTTTTAGCCGCCGCAAAAAAATAGGACATTTTGAGTGAGGTGACAATGTAGAATGTGCTCTTTCTACGTTTATAGACACCCTTTTCTTTTTTTACGATCCATGATCTTGGCTGTCTAACTGATGCAGGTCTCTTTACTGATGCAGCGTTTGACTTTGATTGTGAGTTTGCATGACCTCAGCTCAGCCTATCAGTTGCCCACTGTATAACAGAGAAATTGTGCAAAAATATATTTTTAAATAATAATCTTAACAGACCCATTGGCCCTTTTTCAAAAAAATAATTAAATATACGCAAATATTTGTGTGTGTGTCAATTTCGACCAGCCCACCCAACTAAAAAAGTGTTCAGCCCAACTGGCATTTGCCAGAATTGCCAGATGGCCAATCTGCCCCTGGTGGGAGGCGTCTCAGAGGAGGAATATGTAAAAGGTTAAACAAGTTCTCAAAGCAGGAGGTCAGATGGGAGCTAATATAAATGTGCTGCCGTTTGCGCGGGGGTAACAGGGGCCAAGAAAACATCTCTCTCTCTCTATCTAGCTCTGACCTCCAACGCTTCAAAGCGCCTGACAGACACGCCGAGCGACACGTGCCATGGCCACTCGCGAGGGCTGCCACTGTCTGGGCGCCGGGTGGCAAAACAATAATAACAGCATCCTGTACAATATACTGAAGAACGACAGCCTCGCGACCACCGAGAAACAACAACAACCAACACCACAACCACAACAACACCAACAGCATCGCGGGCACAGGGTCCCCTCCTGTGCCTCCCTCTCCTCCTCCTGTTCCTCCTCTTCTTCCTCATCGTCGCGGCTTGAGCTAAGGCAACAACAGGCATGCTCGTGCGGCTCCTCACGGCGAAGGGGGTCTCTGCGGTCCCCGCAGGTGACCTGCAAAGCCGCGTCAGCGGTCCTCGTGAAGACTCTGCGGTTCGTGAAGAACGTGCCGTGTTTCCGCGAGCTGCCGGAGGATGACCAGCTCCTGCTCGTTCGGAACTGCTGGGCGCCGATGCTCGTGCTGGGCCTCGCGCAGGACCGGGTGGACTTCGAGACCACTGAGACCGCAGAGCCCAGCATGTTGCAAAGGATCCTGACCGGTGGCTGTGGCAGCCAGAGCGGCTTAACGGACAGACAGGGCGAACCACTGCTGGAGCAGTGCGCGGGTACTCCTGGGGTCTCTCTCTCGGATATCCAGAACATCAAAGCGTTCCTGAAGAAGTGTTGGGGTTTGGACATCAGTACGAAGGAGTATGCCTACCTCAAAGGAACCGTGCTATTCAACTCAGGTGGGCAGGATGCTTCAAAACGCCTTAATTTTCTCACTAATCATTGTCTCATTGTGTCCGTGCTGGAGCACATGTAATTATCCTAAATACCCATCTGCAATGTCATACATGTAATAATATAGCACTTTGTCTCTAGTTTTAAAAGTTTGCAAAGCAGTTTCACAGGAAACAAACAACGCTGATTTAATACATGCATCATTTCGGCTTAATGGCAAATTGCTACATAGGAAACTAGATTTAAAAAATAGGTATACCAAAACCCATAATCACCATTATTAGGCTACTAATTCCCTGCATCTACTGCAAAGGAAGGATGTAGGCCTAGTATCTTATGGTATGATTGTTTTAGGGTTGAGGAGATATATATCCTTCCATATCTGGAGACTTCAGAAACCTTTGCCAAAGGGCCTTGTGAGATATTTTGAGGTTATTTGGTAATCTGTTGACAATCAACAGATGAGACACCTGGTTACCATCGTGACCCGGGCTCCTTCAACAACCCAAAGTTTCTATAAACACTGATTCTGTTCTTCTGCCCCCTCCCCTCCCCTCCCCTCCCCTCCCCTCCCCTCCCCTCCTTTCCTCCCACCTCTCCCCAGATCTCCCAGGTTTGCGCTACCTCCACTACATCCAGTCGCTGCGGCACGAGGCTCACCAGGCGCTCAACGAGCACATGAAGCTGATCCACCGGGACGACACCACACGCTTCGCCAAACTGCTCATCACCTTGTCCATGCTGAGGGCCATCAGCCCCCCTGTGGTCACACAGCTCTTCTTCAAGCCCGTCATCGGAGCTGTCAACATGGAGGATGTCCTACTGGAGATGTTCTACGGGAAGTAGATGCTTTCCATGGTCCCGTCCAGAAACAACCCCTAGATATGGCCTCCTATAAGTTCTAGGCACTTCTCCTAGCCCCTACCCCCTAGAAACTTCACCTTGCCCCTAGCCCAGGGTTTCCCAAACTCGGTCCTCGGGGCCCCAAGGGGTGCACGTTTTGGTTTTTGCGCTAGCACTACACAGCTGATTCATATAATCAACTAATCATCAAGCTTTGATAATTTGAATCAGCTTTGTAGTGTTAGGGTAAAAACTAAAACGTGCACCCCTTGGGGTCCCTAGGACGGAGTTTGGGAAACGCTGCCCTAGCCCTTACCCCCACTTCCCCTTTCCCTTACCCATACCCCCTAGCCCCTACACACTTCATGTAGATCTGAAATTATTGGATAGTAATAAGCAATACGACAGCTCCACTCTGCCCTCTGGTAGGCTATAAAGGCATTTTTTTGCTATATTACATCTATCCAATCCTCAGATCAACACCTGAGGGTTGATTCTGGACTGGACCTTTCTATCTAACGGACAGGCAAACAGAATGTAAATCTAACTAACTGTTAACCAACTGTTAGACCTGAATGGACCGTTGAACGGAAGGATAGACCAAGGAAGAGATTTGTGTGTTTCGTTAAAGATGTTTTGGACACTGTGGTGGATGAAGAACAGTCAGGACAAAGGGGTGTGTGTTTTGGGGTGGGGAGGAGGGGTGAAGGAGAGGATACAGACCAAGAAGAGCTGCTGATTGGATCGATAACTTATTTATTTTTACATAAAACTATTTTTCTATAATAAAAGTATTCTCTGAACTGCTTTGCCATGCTTGTGTCAGGTGAGTGGTGCTCTGACTGTCACTATGGAGATCAGAAAGTCCCCTGGACACTGATCTAAGGTCAGCTTTGTGTTTACCCCCTAATTGTTAAGGTTGGGGATAAACTGATCCTAGATCTGTGCCTAAGGGCAAGTTACATTTTACATTTTAGTCATTTAGCAGATGCTCTTATCCAGAGCGACTTAGTTAGTGAGTGCATACATTTTCATACTGCCCCCCCCCGTGGGAAACGAACCCACAATCCTGGCGTTGCAAGTGCCATGCTCTACCAACTGAGCTACAGGGGATCCTGTACAAGTTCTACCCAGAGAGATCAGAAAACCCAATGTTCCTTTTTCGGTAACTATGGTTCTGAATAAACGTTGATGTCTGTTCATAGTTGACAGTTCGCTGATCCCACATATGATCTTTAACATTGGTCTGAATTAAAGATCACTTGTGGGAGCAGCAAACAGTGAACAGACATTAACTTTTTTCTACAGTTATTTTCTGTCCAGGTAGGAACATTCTCTTTTCATTTGAGTGTGTGATCTGAGCCCTAGGAAGCTAGTTTGTACTCTGCAGTGAAGAATGGCCTTCTACAATATTGATTGGTAGAAATCACAGTATAGCTTTGGGCTTGGTTTTACAAGTCCTTTACCATTGACTATTGTCCTGCGTACTAAGATGGATTCACATCTCACCACACATATTGATGCTCATACTCTGATTTCCAAACTCAATTGATTTTTCCTGTGTCTCTGTCTGAGGCAATAGGTGATTGTTGCTGTGCAATTGAGATACAGTAAGTTCATTTATCATGCTAGCACTCAGCTCTGAGGGTTATTGTATCCATTGTAGGATTATCACGATGCTGGTAAGAGAGACCGCAATGGACTGTTAAGGCAACAAGAGGGCACTGTTTAACCACATATCTCACTGATAGAGTCTCTCTCTCTCTCACACACACACACTCTCACACACACACACACACACACACACACACACACACACACACACACACACACACACACACACACACACACAGGCTTCAGGGCAGGCACAGGTGCGCAGAATAAAAACTTGAGGAAATGACCTGCAGAGTTTGATTGCCTCCGGGAGCGTTCCAATTCTCTCTCCAAATCCCATCATTACTGGCAGGAAATGCAACAAACGGGAATGCTACTGGCCAAGATATGCAGGAGGATCAGGAATCAGGGGGTGGGGAGAGCTACACAACAGAGACACAAAACACAGTCACACAGTAGTCTAAGGAACCCATCACAGATACAATCTGGTCCACATACTGTACATGGGGAAATTATAGAGTTGTAGAAAGTCTCTGCTAGAGTTATAGAAGATCTCTGCTTCTGGCTCTCATGGTTCCTAGAGAAAACAATATTCCTGCCCTGTTGCTGTACTGTAGGACTATGTGTGTGTGTGTGACAGTTGAGGAGCAGGGAAGCAATGAAGCATGGAAACACAAGACGGTCAGGCGCTCTGAGCAGTCAAAACAGCAACACCTCGCAGCCAAGGGCTGAGGGTGTGTGTGTTTGTGTGTGCGACTGTGTGTGTGGAGGTAGGAGGAGTAGCGTTATGATAAGAAGACCACAACAGATGCCATGGAGCTGGCGGCAGGAGGAGTGTGAACTGTTACCATGACGATGAGGGATTCCGGAACCTGTGGGTGGACCCCCAGTCCCCACCCCTGCCCCCCATCAGGCTCTATCCCTTTAAACTGATGTAGATCTTTAATAATTGGATAAGGTGTAAGCAAGATGATAGTAGCTCCACTTTGCCCTCTGATAGGCCAGACCCCCCCCCCTTTCTCCAATCCTCTCCACACACACTAAATATGTTGATGTACATATTTCTGTCTCTATCTCTCCTCCATCCTCTCGACAGGGACTATTTTCTTTCCAATTAAGCCCCGAATTGCTTAGGATAATAAAGAGTCTATTCATCCTGTGTCTCGTAATAAAAAACCAGCTGTCAGGCAGGAGGCTGCCAGATGACCGACCGACCGACACACACACACACCAGCTATATCACTGATGCCTGCCACTATGGCGTGTGAGTGTAAGAGAGAGAGAGATATGTGTGTGTATTCAAGCCACCTGCCACACCTACTGGCCATATTACTGATGATGCGTGCCACCACTTTGCGTGTGCGTGTGTGTGTATGTACGTGTGTGGGGATCCTATCATTGTCTCACTGCACCATTGCTAATTCACAATGCACCAGCAGATGGCAGTGTTTGACTGTGTTTTAACGTCCATACCATTAGAAATCCACTTTTCCGAGCTGAAAGACGATGGCCAAAGCGTACCCATGATGTTGCACAACGATTTAAATCAATAAGTCATCGTTTTAGTCAAAGTATTATATATTTGAGCTTGAAGTGACAAATCTGAACTTCCCACTTCGTGCAATTCCGTGTGAATGCGGTGTATTTTCCTATGATGTGACATACACATTGTTTTCAGCCTACGTTTCGTTTCAGGGCTGTGTTTTATTAGAATGTTACCACCCACCAGCATTGCATAGTTTATTAATCAGAAACAGTTGCAAAGTTATTCCTCTTCGTGAATGAGATGAGCCAAATAGCCTTGTGTCCTCTTGGCCACCTGAGTCATGGAGCAGATCAAAATAGGGGGTGCCAACTATTTTTGCACTTCCACTTCATAATCCATAATCCATTTAAATGTATTTTTAAGATAGTCTGTGTAAAGAAAATATATGACAATTCTATAAATGCTATAATTGCTTGATATGATAGCATTTGGCAAACCCCCCAAGCCCCCCAAACCCCCCCCTCCGTTGCCCCAAGATGAGTGGTTTTGTCACTAAGGTTTTGCTTCACTACACGCTCCGCTGCTTTGATTCGTGTAACGTTAGCTAGAAACCACAAGTGTCTATCTGGATAATGAAAACCTGCGAAAGAAAGTTCAAGGAACTTATAGTTAGTTACATGTCATTTGTGCCGTACATGATCATGAGCTAAGTAATTATATTGTTTCACTTCCCCTGTGAGAACTATGAGCACGGGCTGACTTGGCTTTTCATCTTATTCTTTCTAACTATTTATATGGCGGATTTGCGGCTTCAATTAATGGAAGACGCCTAAACTTTGGAAATAACAACAGATGGCAAAGTTAAAGATATGCCAGTGGTTTCCATCTGTGGTGAAGTTTTCCTTAAATCAATGCTAATGACAAATCCAGATCCAGAAGCAGCCATAGAGCCAGCTGGCTAATCTTAAAAAACAAATGCAACAACAGATGACATTAGCTAGCTAGATAAGGTTAGCATACTAGCTAGCTACACTGACAGCTGTCAGTGCCTGTTAAATGTTTATGAACTCCACATGGAAATTCCCACACCCAATTCGTGAATATGTATAAGTAGTCTTCGTCATTCTTCGGAGGTGCAACCTAAACGTGCATTTCATCTCTAGGACAGGAAACGACGTCGAAATAGTGGCGGCAACTTCCTCTGTGGGGGATCCTTTAATCATCATCTGTTCATAAACCTTACCTACAGCACTCCTTACAGAGCAGAACTATTCCATTCTGGTCCTAGAGGGCCGAAACACTTCTGGGTTTTGGACCCTGGAAGAACGTGTAAAATGGACAGGACATAAATGAATCAAGAGGAGATCAACGTTTTTAATGTGCAGTGAGAAAGTAAGGGGAACTGATAAGTATGATTGTGTTTCTATAAAGATAGACATTTCTTTCCAAGTGAAAATCGTGTTTATATATATATTTATATAAATATCTATATCATATATAGAATACATATCTATTTGCTATGCATACTCAGAAATTACACCTTCAAATATAATAAAAAAAGTATTTCAAAGCACAAACATACGCTTCTTCTTTCTTTAAACATCACCTATCGTATGGATTAAAAACCAAGAATTCTCAGGATGGGAAGAATACTTCAACAACTCAACCAAAACATTGAAAATGCATTTACTTTTTGAATCTAACATTTTTTTTCATGAGGGACTCAAAATCCATCTTGTTGTCTTAACAAACCATGACCCACATAGCAAAGTAGTGTACAAAACCTGCATAACACACACACGTCTACCTCCCCCTAAATGTCAGATGAAACGTAAATAAGTATGACTTCCCAAGCAAACTCTTTTTGTTATAAAAATATACTTATTTTTAAAATAATCTACAGATTTATTTTTAAGGTGAGGCATTTCACTATCACGCTAAAACAGCAAGGCTGTTTATTTTTATAGAAAATATGAAGCTCTGACTGACTGACAGACTGACTGGAGAGGACTAGCACGACTCCCTAACTTCTCCCCTTCCTCTGGCCCACAGGAAGTTACATCAACATCACCGGTAGCTCCTCCTTCTTTTTGCATATTCTATGATTTTTTAAAGAGTGTTTTTAAAACTAGATATACACCTTATACAGGTCAACAAAAATAAGATGCTGCTCCTTGAAGTAAAACGTTGCAATGTCCAAGCAATTCCCTAAAAGTTAAAAAAAGAAAAGAAAAAAAAGAAAAGAAAACACAACAGCGCAGATACATGACATACTGGCTTTCTTCATAAGCATATCGAAATAAAAAATGTAAACAAATAAAAACAGAAAAAATAGAAATATATAAATCTGTGTGACAAGTTAAAGCAAAGTCTTAAAGTAGAGAAGGCAACACACATGATTGAATAAAAAACAACATATAAACAAAAAACAGGAAGACACTGATGCTACAAATAAATTGGAAATATATCTACAAGACCCTGTTTTCCTTTAGTGTGTGTGCGTGTATGTGTGTGTGTGTTTGTGCAAGTGCACAAGTGCACAAGTGCCAAAGTGTGTGGGTTCTTTTATTTTGTATTCACGAGTTCATGTTGATCAAACTTTGTTGTCTCTTGATCAAACAGTTTGTTGTCGTCAGTTTGAATCTTTAATCCTCGGGTGAAGAACTTCTCCTCTGTGTACATGAGGGCCACATTAAAAACCAAACCTGCCCTGACCCTGTCTTGCCTGTTCACAGGGGTCCATTCCAAACCAAACTCATCACAATCTCTCAGTAGCCAATCAGAACTGGCTCATTGAAGTGTGACTACGCCACCAAACCGATCCAAAGCGATCCATCCCAAGCCAAACCAGACCAGACCAAACCAGGCCAGACCAGACCAAACCGCCAGTGTCGTATGGTTCTATCCCGTCCCGGTCACCAGATGACGCTGGAGATGCTGGTCTCCCTGGGCAACAGCGGTAGCATGGCGTGGTTAGTGTGCTCCTCCTCCAGACTGTGCTCGCGGCTCTTCCCCGCCGGCGGCCTCTGTCCGTTCAGCAGCGTCAGCGGGATGTTGCAGTAGGTGTGTTGGTTGCCTAGTGATGACAGTGGCGGTAGCGTGCCCCCCGGCGGCAGGTCGTACTCGTAGCTGCGGTAGTAGTGTTTCTGCCGCATGGTGGTGTGGTACGAGTTGTGGAAGGACGAGCGGAGCTCCGGGTGAGCCGTGGCCATGGCAGTGGAGGTGGCGGCTGCCATGGAGATGGCGGAGACGGTCTGGAGCTCGCCGAAGGGCCCCTGCTCGCTGACATCCAGCGCTGGCTCGTGGCTCAGCATTGGCTCGGTGCGGCGGAAGGGCATCTCATACTGCAGCTGCTTCCAGAACTTGGAGCTGAGCTTGTTGCTCTTGGGGCCATGCCACTTGATGACGGTAAGGGTCTTGATGCTGTGTTTGAGGGCCTCCACCTCTTGGTAGTTCATGATGCCACGCAGCTCAGCACACTCGATCAGAATCACCTTGATCTCCCCGGTGACCAGCATGTTGCGGAGGCGTGTCTCCAGCTCGAAGATGCTCCACCCACGCCGCACCACATAGTTGGGCGTCATGACGATGATGAGGCGTTTGGATTGGTCCACACAGCGCGCCACGTCTTCAATGTAGGCTGGAGAGAGCGAGGGAGAGAGACAGAGAGAGAGGGATAAAGGGAGAGGAAGAAAGGAATGCACTCAGCACACAATCAATCTTCTTGAAAGGGAAAACTCAAAACAGCTTAGATTCTATACAGAAACATATTTTCTATAACATGTTTTGTATGCAGGACATATTTGTTGTAACATGATGTGGACAAGACACATATAGCACACCACTCACAATACACAGAGACAATGGATGGACAACTACAAGACATACAACACAAGACAGAGACAGCAGTCAGACAACAGTTTAGTGGTTAAACACACAGCTAACTACAACTGTTCTTAGTCATCTATCAACTCTACCTATATTACTTTCTCATCTCTCTCGCACTGAGGTTTTTGGATCTGTGTGTGTCTCTGTGCGGCAGCATGTGTATTTGTGTACATTTGAAGTCGGAAGTTGACATCTTAGCCAAATACATTTAAACTCAGTTTTTCACAATTCCTGACATTTAATCCTAGTAAAAAGTCCCTGTCTTAGGTCAGTTAGGATCACCACTTTATTTTAAGAATGTGAAACGTCAGAATAATAGTAGAGAGAATGATTTATTTCAGCTTTTATTTATTTCATCACATTCCCAGTGGGTCAAAAGTTTACATACACTCAATTAGTATTTGGTAGCATTGCCGTTAAATTGTTTAACTTGGGTCAAACATGTCAGGTAGCCTTCCACAAGCTTCCCACAATAAGTTGGGTGAATTTTGGCCCATTCCTCCTGACAGAGCAGGTGTAACTGAATCAGGTTTGTAGGCCTCCTTGCTCGCACACGCTTTTTCAGTTCTGCCCACAAATGTTCTATAGGATTGAGGTCAGGGCTTTGTGATGGCCACTCCAATACCTTGACTTTGTTGTCCTTAAGCCATTTTGCCACAACTTTGGAAGTATGCTTGGGGTCATTGTCCATTTGGAAGACCCATTTGCGACCAAGCTTTAACTTCCTGACTGATGTCTTGAGATGTTGCTTCAATATATCCACATAATTTTCCTTCCTCATGATGCCATCTATTTTGTGAAGTGCACCAGTCCCTCCTGCAGCAAAGCCCCCCCACAGCATGATGCTGCCACCCCCGTTCTTCACGGTTGGGATGGTGTTCTTCGGCTTGCAAGCGTCCCCCTTTTTCTCCAAACATAATGATGGTCATTATGGCCAAACAGTTCTATTTTTGTTTCATCAGACCAGAGGACATTTCTCAGAAAAGTACGATCTTTGTCCCCATGTGCAGTTGCAAACCGTAGTCTGACTTTTTTATGTCGGTTTTGGAGCAGTGGCTTCTTCCTTACTGAGTGGCCTTTCAGGTTATGTCGATATAGGACTTGTTTTACTGTGGATATAGATACTTTTGTACCTGTTTCCTCCAGCAACTTCACAAGGTCCTTTGCTGTTGTTCTGGGATTGATTTGCACTTTTCGCACCAAAGTTCGTTCATCTCTAGGAGACAGAACGCGTCTCCTTCCTGAGCGGTATGACGGCTGCGTGGTCCCATGGTGTTTATACTTGCATACTATTGTTAGTACAGATGAACGTGGTACCTTCAGTCGTTTGGAAATTGCTCCCAAGGATGAACCAGAGTTGTGGAGGTCAACATTTTTTTATGATTTCTTTTGATTTTCCCACGATGTCAAGCAAAGAGGCACTGAGTTTGAAGGTAGGCCTTGAAATACATCCACAGGTATACCTCCAATTGACTCAAATGATGTCAATTAGCCTATCAGAAGCTTCTAAAGCCATGACATCATTTTCTGGAATTTTCCAAGCTGTTTAAAGGCACAGTTAACTTAGTGTATGTAAACTTCTGACCCACTGGAATTGTGATACAGTGAATTATAAGTGAAATAATCTGTCTGTAAACAATTGTTGGAAAAATTACTTGTGTCATGCACAAAGTAGATGTCCTAACCGACTTGCCAAAACTATAGTTTGTTAACAAGACATTTGTGGAGTGGTTGAAAAACGAGTTTTAATGACTCCAACCTAAGTGTATGTAAACTTCCGACTTCAACTGTATGTGTGTATGTGTGTGTATGTGTGCCTGTGTTTGTGTGCTAAAGTGTGTATGTGTGTTCTGACTTAAAAGCTATGCTCTTGCTGTGTAAACTCTTAAAAACTGGATGCCCTAAGCTTCTCTTCCTGTCCAGAGAGGAAGTGCATCACAGTTGCTGACACAAGAGGAAGAGACTGAGGAAGTGTACCTCTAAGAAGTCTTGTGTCATCCTGGTAAAGCTCATTGGCCAGACCTAAACATAAACATGTCAACATTGAGACTCAGATCACAGGAGAACACACAGAGCACACAAACAGCAAAGAGGACTTGTGTAACACTGGCATCAACTACTTAATTTCTCTTTCTCTAACATACACACGCACATGCACGCGCGCACACACACACGGGCTGGAACAGTGTTTTAGCAAATTATTGTAGAACTCTGTCTATGGACTGGATTCTCAGTTCATCCAGCAGCATGTAAGTAAGTAAGTAAGTAAGTAAGTAAGTAAGTAAGTAAGTAAGTAAGTAAGTAAGTAAGTGCCTCTAAACATATCACCCTGTGATGTCCTATTCTGACTGGAGCTGCCTACCACCGGAGAAGTCTGACTGGATGGGTTCACCTTTCAGCTCTATTCCACATGAAAACCAGCTAGACGTAGAGCCATGATAATAGATACTGAACATCCTGTACCGTATGCATAGACGGACTGCTGAACAGATATGTTCACAAATAATATTTTCATGAATGCATTAATGGATTAAATGGGAGCTAGTGAGGAGGCTGCTAGAGAGAACATGTACTCTGTGATATCTCTGCCCTACAGCATGAATACTGAGCTAGCAATATCTCTATCTATATCTCTATCTATATCTCTATGTCACGCCCTGGCTCTGGGGACTCTTAAATGTTGAGCCAGGGTGTGTAGTTTCTATGTTAAGTTTTCTATGTTGAGTTTCTAGATCGTGTAGATCTATGTTGGCCAGGGTGGTTCCCAATCAGAGGCAGCTGTAGCTCGTTGTCTCTGATTGGGGACCATACTTAGGCAGCCTTTTGGCACCAGTCTGGGTGGGATCTTGTTCTGTATAGGTTTGTTTGGTGTAACCTTAAGACTTCACGTATCGTTTGTTTGTTGTTTTGTCGCGTGTCTAATCGTTTAAAAAAATGTACGCTTATCACGCTGTGCCTTGGTTCCACGAATCTTTAAACGATCGTGACAGAAGATCCACCAAATGAGGACCAAGCAGCGTGTCCAGGAACAGACAGCCTGGACCTGGGAGGAGATCCTGGACGGGAAGGGATCCTGGACTTGGGAGGAGATTCAGGCCGGAATGGATCGCCGTCCTTGGGAGGAGACAGTGGAGGCGCGCTATAGAGCGGAGCAGCGGCAACGCAGAAGGTGCCGGTCGAGGAGGAAGCCCGAGAGACAGCCCCAATAATTTTTTTTGGGGGGGCTAAAAGGGTGGTTGGCGGAGCCTAGTGTTAGAGCAGAGCCAACTCCCCATACTCATGCTAGGAAGCGTGTGACTGGGCAGGCTCCGTGTTATGCCGAGCCACGTACTGTGCCGCGAGTGTTCCGGCACAGTCCTGTACGTCCTGTGCGAGCACCACGCACGTGTCGTGCGAAGATGGGCATTCAGCCAAGACGGGGTGTGCTGGCTGAACGCTCGTGGTCTCCAGTACGCCTCCTCGGTCCCGTATATCCTGCGCCGGTGCTACGTGCTGTATCGCCAGTACGAGTGCACAGCCCCGTACGTCCTGTGCTAATGCCTCACACATATTGTGTGGAAGTAGGCATTCAGCCAGGACGGGTTGTGTCAGCTCTCCGCTCCAGACCTCCAGTCCGCCTCCACAGTCCGGTACGGCCCGTTCCTGCTCCCCGCACCAAGCCAGTGGTGCGTGTTCCCAGTCTGGCCCGGCCCGTTCCGTTCCCCGCACCAAGCCAGTGGTGCGTGTTCCCAGTCCGGCCCGGCCCGTTCCTGCTCCCCGCACCAAGCCAGTGGTGCGTGTTCCCAGTCCGGCCCGGCCTGTTCCTGTCCCTCGCGCCAAGCCAGTGGTGCGCGTCGTCAGCCCGGTCCGGCCCGTTCCTGCTCCCCGCACCAAGCCAGTGGTGCGCGTCGTCAGCCCGGTCCGGCCCGTTCCTGCTCCCCGTACCAAGCCAGTGGTGCGCGTCGTCAGCCCGGTCCGGCCCGTTCCTGCTCCCCGCACCAAGCCAGTGGTGCGTGTGTCCAGTCCGGCACAGCCCGTGCCTGTTCCACTCCGGAGCCAGAGCAATCCGCTCCACCGGGGTCCGGTCCAACTCCAGTCAGCAGATCCACTCCGGAGCCAGAGCAATCCGCTCCACCGGGGTCCAGTCCAGCTCCGGTCAGCCGCTCCACTCCGGAGCCAGAGAAGTCCGCTCCACCGGTGCCCAGTCCAGCTCCGGCCAGCGGCTCCAGTCCGGAGCCTGTACAGTTCGATCCACCGTCGTCGGGTCCAGCTCCAGTCAGCGGTGCCAGACCAAACCAGGGGCGCAACAGGGAGGTGGAGAGAAAGTGGTGGTCACGCCCGGAGCCGGATCCGCCTCCGAGGCGGAATGCCCACCCGGCACATACCCTGTTATGTTTATGGGGCGCGGTCGGAGTCCGCACCTTTGGGGGGGGGGGGGGGGGGGGGGGGGGGGGGGGGGGGGGGGGGGGGGGGGGGGGAGGGGGTACTGTCACGCCCTGGCTCTGGGGACTCTTAAATGTTGAGCCAGGGTGTGTAGTTTCTATGTTAAGTTTTCTATGTTGAGTTTCTAGATCGTGTAGATCTATGTTGGCCAGGGTGGTTCCCAATCAGAGGCAGCTGTAGCTCGTTGTCTCTGATTGAGAACCATACTTAGGCAGCCTTTTGGCACCAGTCTGGGTGGGATCTTGTTCTGTATAGGTTTGTTTGGTGTAACCTTAAGACTTCACGTATCGTTTGTTTGTTGTTTTGTCGTGTGTCTAATCGTTTAATAAAATGTACGCTTATCACGCTGCGCCTTGGTTCCACGAATCTTTAAACGATCGTGACACTCTATCTATAGCTCTATCTATAGCTCTATCTATATCTATAGCTCTATCTACTTCTCTATCTATATCTATATCTCTATCAATATCTATATCTCTATCAATAGCTCTATCTATATCTATAGCTCTATCGATATATTTATCTAGATGTCTAATGTTACACAGTCCCCTTGCTGAGGGCACAGTCAGTGTGGTATAGGCTACACAATAGAATACACTTTGGGCTAGAAAGGTGAGTGGATCCCTAGAGAGGATGTTGTATCCCGGTAAAAGGGAGCGGGTTCTAAACAGTTTTTGAAAGGAACACGACAGTGTATAGGAGTGCAACAAGAATAAGATGGTTTATTGTTACATTGACAGAGGAGACAACATGACTGCTATCAGAGATCTCTCCATCTGCGCCCGCTCAAAGGGTAGCAGAGGATATCTGCTATCAACCAATGAGGGCCTATCAATTAAGATGGTTACAACCATTCATAAGCATGCATTCTATGATCATGCACTGAACAAGTGCATGCTTGTTTAAACAAGTGTACAGTGTGCTTATAACACTCTGATGTAGATTCTCATACACAACAGAGGCTGGGTCATTCCACAAATAGAGTATACTTTGCGTCCCTTTGATATTTTAAGTGGAAATTGTGCACCAATATTGAATTTTAAAAGCCTGTTATATTAAATTAAGTATCCTTTAATACAGACCACTTGGAAAATTCAATAAATCTACTTTTTTTTTTACGTCCCTTATTTTTCTGACATCTAGGAATATTTTAACCCACTTAACCCCAACATTTCTCCAAGTTTTCACCATCATTTAAAAACCCTACAGAGCAAATTCTCTAGTGTTAAATGAACACTGAGAGTGTTACATTTAACACTGGTCCAGTGTCTACACGGGTCCACACTTTTCAGTCTTAAATTCACACATTCTTAGTGTAAAGCCTTATTTGCATATATCCCAGAGTACATTTACATACATTTACATTACCTTGCTGTTCGAGTGAATTGTAGAGTAGAGGTCTTCACGGGTACAACAAACCCAAAGTTCCGAAAGCCGCCCGGGACCCAAGTGGGTCCGGTTCCTAAATTCTGACTTTTGTCCCGGATCTGGGTCGGGTATGATATAATTGCCACGGGTCTCGGATATGTGCAATTAAAATTAATTTACAGACTGGATCCGATTGGACCCGTCTTCTGTTAATTTAATGTGTGGGGTGATGAGAACTGCGCAAGCTTGTTATCTCTGTCAGCCAACTCAATAAAACGTATAGCTTACAGTATATGAAAACAATATCAGTAACACAGAGGTGGTTTGGGGCAAAATACTGAAGGTTGTTCTATAGGTGGTAACTATGGATATATTATTTAGAGTTTCTTTGTTGCACAAACTACACATATACTGTACATACAAAAGACAAGTGACAATGACAAGCAGCTACAGTGAAAGTACAATAATCACTAACATGCACAACAGGTGAATACGAAACAGACCACACATGACTGTATACTGATGACATACTGACAGAGTAAAGAACAATCACAATAACCATAATAACTGTACAAGCCACAACACAATTAGTGGACCTATTATCAAGTAACCACACAAAGCACCCCCTCAGCCTCCACACCCCCACACACAGCACCCCCTCAGCCTCCCCACCCCCACCCCCATGCACAG